TGGTTTTGTTTTATTCTTCCATTTGAACAAATATTCTCAAAAATTTTAAAGCAAAACCAAACCTAAATTTTCCAGGTTTATTTTTGTTTTTGAATGGGAACGATTTATTCGCATGGAATGTGCGATAAGGCTGATTGTATACTTTTTCCTATTTCTTATTTCCCTTAATGATTCTTAAACTATAGAATGAATATGCAAATCTTGGGTGCGATGTTGCGTCAGGGGATCGGCCATAGGAACTTTCCATATGTCATTGAAATTTTACAAATTAGTTTGGATGAACATATTAAACCTAATGACATTTTTCTTACACATCTTTATAAATTCTATGATCGTTGTGCGCGTTCAATTGATGAAAGAGTAAGTACGCGAAAAACATCTTGTATACATATATATTCGTATGTATTTAGGTGTTCGTACCTTCGCTTGAACCACAGATTGATACTTACGGCGCCATCTATCGAAGTAGTACGAACCAATGCTTGATCGGGTAGCAGCGCTCGGCTGTCGTACTTGTCAGTACGCTTTTTACCTTCATTTTATTAGCTGGGGATGTAACTATGTAATATTGATGCGCCTAAAAGATGCAGCGATTTCTATTCTGAAGTTACCTAAAGACAGTACGAATGGCAATTATAATAGGGAGGCTTCAGTTTTTTAAACTATAATTTTAGTTGCGTTCCAGATGCTCACGATATTCTCGATTTGCAGGTTTTTTTGCGGGAAAGCGTTCCAAGTGCCAAAAAACCTGCAAGTCAAACCACTTTTGTGAGAGTTACTTGATCTCTCTCTCAGTCAGAAGTTGCAGGTTTTATTCCGAAGTTTTTCTTTCTGCAAGTTCATGAAAAGTGTCAAACGATAGGCAGGGTTGCATTTGTAAACAAAAACATAGCAAGGAACTTTAAGCGCCACGGAGACAATCAAATAAATACGTCAAGCATTGCATATGTGTGAGATTGGCTCGTGTATTGCTCGCAAACGTACAAATAAACGCGTTAATTCAACAAGCAATTTCTTTTTCTTGTCCGTGCACTTACTCACCACGACGATCAGAAGGCAAATGCGCTTGTTTTTTGTCAAGCAAAACGCGAAACGGTTGATAAAGATATTTGATCGTCTCCATGGCGCTTAACATTAAAAAAAAGTGGAAGTAGTTACAGGAAAAGTGGTTTTTCGCGATCCAGGTGACTTATTTTTTCTCTCTTGCTCTTCTCTTTCAAGAGAGTAATTTTGTTATTTGACAGTTTTACAGGTTTTTACTTGAAGTTATCTGGAACGTAACTTTTATTGTGACGGCAAAAAGGGGAAATTTTTGTAGGGGAAATTTTTTTCCTCCAGACATCATGCACACATTCGATTGGTTACTGCATTGGTAAACTGCTTATATGTTACTTTCAGTTTATGGCGTGTGCAGCGATGACAACTATGGGTCATTTGGCCCAAATATTAGCGGATAACTCCGACAAAAAAGCGTTCCTTTTAATTTTGAGCTCAGTTCAAGTGAGTTATCCTTCTGATTGGGAGTCATGAGAAGTAATGAACTATTCTTTCGAAGAATTGTTTGGAAAGGAATTATCGTCCACGGCTGATAGCAAGTTGAGATTTGGTATCCCAACTTTCGATTTAGCCCGTGCTTTTTGCAGGAATGAGGGGGATATGTCCGAGAGGACATTTAGACACATTAGGTCAATTATAATATCATGGCCTTTAGGCAAACAGCAGCATAATGCAGCAGAACAGCCCAACTTTATAAAAAACGTCTAAACGTCACAGACACACGAGAGGTGACTCGCCTCCGCGTAAACGTGCAGCTTTAAGCCAGGACACCAACGACAATCAAATGGAGATGCAAGCTCAACAAAACAAGAAGATCAGTGATCTTCAAAAAGTCACAAATATTTCTCACGAGCCAAATTTAAATATCTCCTACGATTCTATTCCCCACAGTTCCTGTGAGGATAAAATACGAGCAAATACGGTACGCTCACCGATAGTATCTGATAGCCATAGCAGTGTTGAGGATGAAGCGTCAGGGTATGCAGATAATGCTGAGCGAACAATTAAAAATGAAATTGCTAGGGCTGAAGGGCGGCTAAAGTTAATTCAAGAGGCGAAGGCTATAACCAGGGGTCCTTCTTTAACTTCAAACCACGCACAATAGAATCTGAAACGAAGGTTTCGATAGCAGAGCCAGTCTTAGCCCAACAGGGAATAGAATCTCAACGCTTAGGAATGGACGGCTGGAAGAACATTCGCTATTCGGAGATACAAAAGCACTTCTAAGCACCGCCAGTGTTTTCAGCCTTAAGAGTTAATAATCAATTTGCTAGTATCACACCTAACTGGACTTCTCTTGCTATATTAGAAAAATTCGATTTAACTTTGGGGGCCGTAACGAACAGCTTGCTCCAACAAAAGATGGTCGAGCAATTATGTGATAAATTACCGAGAGATTTTAAGCAGATGGTGGGAGAAGAGTTGTAGCCGCTACAACAACAACAACAGAGGAGCTCTTGGCTGATGATTCTAAATTTCGTAACAGTTAGACTCCCTTCTACAATATGTCTGCGGTCGTAGAGCAGAGTTATCCAACAAAGACGAGACACAAATACAAAGTAATAAAAAATAAAGCCTTAAAGCTGTGACAGACGGCAAAGCTTATGAGTATAATCTGGCACACATATGCACATAATAATTTTGACCTAACAGACGGCAGTCCCACGGCCAGTTGAATTTTCATTTATTTCGTTTTCATTCTTTTTTTTATAAATTCTATATTTTTTTTACGTTGCTTTCAGTTAGTTATTATTGACTTTTTATTAAAATTCAACTCTAAAAATTTAAATTAACTAATAGTAAAATAAAAAATTTGATATAAAATAAAGCAAATGAAAACAAAATAAAGCAAAATTAAATATATAGATCAAATAAAATAAAAATATATAAAATAAATAATAAAAAAAAAAATCAGACTCCCTGATGAAAGCGTGAAGTAAGCCGAAACGCGTAGGAGAAAGAGGAAACACAGTTTGCCTTTTTAATATACCGGCCGGAAAGCTCTACCAATGACCCAGTAGGAAATTTTAACACTAGCCTAAAAACAATAAAAAAAAAATTCGCAATCGCTCCAACCGAGGATCGAACCTGGCAGCTACAGACTTGTAGCCCGTAACTCTTACCACTCTGCTACCGCGGACGCGGAACTCGCGTGCTTTGTTTGCTTATAGGGAATTTACATGATTCAACTTTCACAGGCGATTAGTTCTCCGTGTGGTTCAAGCGAAGGCACGAACACATAAATAGAACTGTTTTTTCCCCGAAGTCCAAAAAACGGATATTTAGGTTTTTGCCGTAGCTTGAACCACACCTTAAGGCCTTGCCTGCTTGAGGTACTGACAAGTATGACAGCCGAGCGCTGCTACCCGAACAAGCATTGGTTCGTACTATTTGTGGTAGATGGCGCTGTAAGTATCAGAGGCGGAATCCCCATGTGGTTTAAGCTACGGCAGAAATCTAAATATCCGTTTTTTGACCTTCGGGTGGAAAACGGTTATATAATTCACTTTTCTCTTCAGCACCCTTCAACTAAATCTAAGTCATTTAAAAACGGACATGCGAAATTCTGTGATAAGTTGCGCCTCTACTACGAAGAACAAGGAATCGCTGGTCTTAAGTTAGATGACGCCATTAAAAAAGTTCGAGAGCATCCAAATCAGCAATACAAAGAGGAAGATGTGGAGGGCCTCGAGCCAATAAAAAATAAGGAACTCTCTAAGAAACAAAAAATTCGAAAGTACATCAAAAAGATAAAAATTGAAAATTTACGTAGTGACGATCAAAGTACATCCCCAAGGCCTGAAATAACCGCAGAAAGCGAACTACAAAAAACGAGAGAGTAATTGTTACTCTTCCAAGTTTTACTGTGTAATTGCTTTATTAGTGTATAAATTAAATACATTTCACGCTCAAGTGCCAATTTTCATTATAGATTATGTTGATATAAAATTCTAGATTTTATAATGGCTTCAAAATTTTGTTTACGAAATAGGCATATGATTCAAAGTTGCATGACAAATAAACGGACGTTTATCCAATCATAGTACGTTTTCTCCCACGCGCTCGCACTTCTTCAAATTTCGCGACCACCATGGTTTCATCCTTGCCACATTCCTTACGGTATGCTTCCAGAATATACTCAAATAAATATGGCTGTTCACTATGCGTGCTAAGAAGCGCTCGTTCAAGAACATACAAATCAACGCCTTTATCTTCTGCGCTTTGGTTGTAATGACTTAACCCAAAATCAACAAATATAACATCGTACAAGTCATCATTTTGATCGACTTTGGGATTTATAAGAATGTTAGAAGTGGTTAAATCCCCGTGAATAATGTTATTTACATGTAGCCTCCCAATTATGGAACCAATCTGAGTACTAAGTTTTCTTAGTAGTGCCTCCGCATTATGAGACTGGTATTCACAAACAACTTGTTGAATATACTCTTTGGCTGTGGCAGCATTTTCAAAATATTCCATATAAATCTTACGCTCATTCAGATCGGTATACAAGATATGTGGTACCAATATTCCCGCATTTCGACACCGAGTCGCAGCTTTGGTTTCGGCCTTCATTCGTTGGCGTGTAATTTGTGCATCCAAATCTGCATGTCGATAGCGTTTCACAAAACGTTCCTTTACTAAACATTTTTCTCCCTTAAATTCACTCATGTATAGTCGTCCTTCGGCACCTTGTTTTAATATCTCCAGAGACATGCCAAAGCCAACATTACGTGTAATTACGTCTATCGAACGCAAACTTTTTTTATTGATACGCAGTCCAAGGAATCACTTCCCCGCTATACCGCTGTGTTATCAGAGAACCTCTTTTATCGAACGCAAACAAAATCGATCACTTCACCTAGAGAACGCCAAGTTTTGTGATTGTCGAATGTTCGATACAATAATCTCAAAGTTGCATTGAATGTTCGATAGAAAAAGATAATGGGCTGTTTTTGCTTACGCGTAAAAACACATTTAGCTCAAAATGCTACTCTAGTACTAATATTTATATTGCTTAGGCTTTCTGCACATTGGTCGTCCAATCATAGTTACTTCATCGTCACAATCATGACGCAACGATTACTTGACGACTACATATTCGCACACTCGGTCGTGATATTTGAATTCATTTGGCGTCTAAAAATTGACTTAGAGCAGGTATTTTCTGTTTTTCTGGTTGATATTTTAGCGAAATAATTACAAAAACCGGCAATTTTTAAAATATGGACTGTGCTGCAACAATTCTAGACATAATTTTTCAGTAATATCTCTTCTTTTCTTTTCCTGGAATGTATTTTGTGCATGCACGCAGAGTCTTTTTACAATTTCGACATGTTTTATAGTTAAAACGCTCACATTTGTTGAATTTTATTGCAATTATCCACTTTTTAATAATTTCGACAAATTTTATACCAAAGACACTAATTTTTATGCAATTTTAATGCAAATATTAACTTTTTCACTAATTTTTCCCCATAAAATGTAAACAAACAATGCGTGCACAACGATTAGCAACCGACAGTGCCGTACTTATCCGTTTCTGCATCTTCTACGATTTGCCGATAACCAGCCGATAACGACAAGTGTGCAGATCTCCTTTGAAATGCATGTGCTCGGCCCAAAATTTCAGGGCGAGACGATAACGCAACTATGATTGGACGACCAGTGTGCAGATAGCCTTATTATAGCAGAAAAACGTGAGCACAGAGAAGAAACATAACTTTTCCTTGAGATGTGAGAATAACAAGCACAACAAATTTGACGGCTAATCTGAGATTTGCCTGTGTAAACGGGGTGATTAAAAAACGAGCTTTGATTGAGATAATATTGATATGTGAACATACTTTTATTGTCTTGGTCTATCTTCTTTGACAATACAGTCGACCGGCATGTCGTTTGAATCCTCAGTAAATATACAAATAGAAATAACGCAATTAGGTGAGTTGATAGGCACGTCTAATATTCTATCCAATTGGGAGTAGGATTTTCAACATCGATTTTTCCGGTATCGATATTGTTCAACCCGATATATCTTCATATCGATTTTACATGCAATGAATTAAATCGAATCATGGTATCGATACTTTCTTAAATATCGAACATTCCCAGTATGAGTTATTAATAGGGGTCTTCATGTAAAGTAATAAAGGGATAAATTGCTTAAATTTATCAGTTTATCCGCATTCTTTCATAAACGTACGGAACACCTTAATAATACTGACCTTCGAGCTAGAGAAAAAAAAGTGGGCACGGCCCGCCCCCTTTTCCGGATTTTAATGGCATATTTTTTTGGTGCAAATCGACAGGGGCGGCGATAGAGGGGAGTGGGCTAAACGTGGAATTTTCAACATTTTCCAAAAGCTTATATTTCGAAAATTATTGAACCGATTTTCTAAATATCGACACAGTTGGAAAGGTGATTAAAGGGCCTTTCATTGGATATATATATCTATGCATATAATGTATACACATTGCGAGAAAAGGTAAACAACGAAATTACGGCAATTCTTTTTATAAAAATGAATGCTAGTTTTCAAAATATAAGCTTTTGAAAATGTTGGAAATTCCACGTTTAGCCCCTCCTAGCGCTACCCCTGTCAATTTTAACCAGAAAAAGTTTACCATTAAACTCAGCAGAAAGGGGTGCACCACGTCCATGTTTTCTTTTTTCTCTAGCTTAAGGGTCGGTATTCTTTAGGTATGCCAAACGTACCTTGGTTAATAATTGCAAAAAATTGTTTATTATTCAACTTTTCTGGCTATTCATGTTTCATTCTTACCTCGTCCAGTTTGCTAATTGGCTTTTTATGTGTTCGTAGCAAAATCGACCAACTGGCAGTCTGTCAGGGTTGAAATTTTCTGAAATTTATACGTTTATCCACCAAAAGTGATAAACTGATAACTTTCTTTAAGTAGATGTCCATACCAAGTTTGACAATTCATTTATCAAAATGATAAATTTATCATTTTATCAAGTTTAACAACGGTTTATCACTTTTGATGAAGACTCCTTTTATCAAGTATCAAGAGTTTATCACTTTTCATGAAGACCCCTAATGTAATATCGTTTAAATAAATGGTTATAAAAACATTAAACATAAAAGCATTCTTTTGAAAATTTGTAGTAAGTCTATATTCATATGCTTATAACCAAGGTTCCATTTCGATTGTATTACGCTTTCTTCTCAAAACCAGTTACAAATAAAAAATCGCGTTCTTACGTGATCTTGTATTTTTGGTTCATGCAAATAACCAGATAACCATGCATGTGTGAACAACCCAAATGTTTTGTCAGTTTAATGTTTATAATTGTACATGAAAAATAAACTCTCATTAAGTTTATTTGCTTGTTGGAAAATTAAATGAAACAATGAGGTTGTTCACGCTTGCCTGATTATCAGGTTATGTGATTATGTGGTTATATTTTTTATTTAGTTTACATCAATAAACTACACTACACAATAATAATTTTTAACCAGATAACCTGATAACTAGGCAAGTGTGAATAACCTCAATGTTTAGGTATACGTTCAATTGTCCGTGCTACCAACCCAGAGTATTCCAATAGCAGTCCGGTTTACAGGATTTAGTCAGAACTTACAGGAAGTCGTTCCTATTGACATAAAACCTGTAAGTGGGAACACGTTTGAGAGAATAAATGAGCTACTGTTCCTAGTCAGAAGTTACAGGATTTAGTCCGGAGTTCGAAGGAACAGACTAACTCCCAAGTTATCAGCGAAACAATACAAACAGAGCGGTTCACAAATGAACAAAACCTCTGTCAGATCGTAACGTTGTTGCTGCATTTGCGTGCAAGCGTTTTGCGAAAGAAACACAGCTAATAAAAGGCAAACCAACACTTTTGCCATCGATATTTTTCCAGCTGTACCCAGCATTCCAAGTTAATAATCGAAAAATGCAATCAAATGATTAATCTTTGCCATTCCTAGTGTTACTGTATTTATTAACCTACTTAGCCTTATTCACCGAAGCAATATTAACATATAAACATGAGCACTTCAGTAGATCCACGACGCAAGGAAAAGGTTAACAGGTATAAACCCCCACAGAATCAAGGCCAGGCTGCCAGTTCCAGCGAGGATCTTATGCCGGATTATATGAACATTTTGGGTGAGTAGTGTGCAATGCAATTTATTCAGACAACGCTTTTAATAATATATTTTAATTGAAGGAATGATTTTTTCAATGTGTGGCCTAATGATGAAGTTGAAATGGTGCGCATGGTTTGCGCTCTATTGCTCATGCATTAGCTTTGCAAGTTCGCGAGTGAGTGATGACGCAAAGCAGGTAAAAGAAAACAAGCTGTATTTTATTCCACAGAATTAATCGTTTTACCACAGGTGCTGTCATCGTTTATGTTATCAGTGAGTGCAGTGGTCATGTCATATCTTCAAAATCCCTCACCAATGACACCCCCATGGGCTCCATCTGCGTAGTGCCTTTCCTGTATACATGTTTCAACAATCCAAAGATTATTTTTCTAACCGGATAAATTTGTTTTTGCTGAATCCTATATTTTGGCTGTATTTCTTTATTCATTCTGAACGTTTGGAATAAACTTTTTCGTTTAATTTTCTTTAGAACGTTCCTGATGATATGTTAACGCATATTTCAAACGCATTCTGTTTATTCCGGCTGTGAAATGGGATTATACGGAATGTATAAAGAAACGCAGCCATTGTGTCATAAAACCCAGAGTAACCTATCTATAAAACATAAATGATGAACGTTCGAGTTGCAATCACAACTGCAGTGTTGCGCGAATTATTAAAGTATAGCGTTCTGCGTGAATTTCTAGCAATGTAGTCATTACTTACCGATTTGGATTTCGAACTACTTTTGCAAATGTTTAAAATTTTGGTATTAAGCAGGTTCCAATATTTTATGTGGTTGGCTAGACTATTGTA